GCACCTTGATAATTTTAAATTGTGATCCCATCTGCTCTAACACTGGGAGCTAAGCTTGAAAAATACAGGAGACCTCAGCAGAGTGCTGGACATTGTGAGCTGCCACAAGAGGCTCTGAGCCCTGAGGGAGCACTGTGCTTCTGACGAGGTGCTACGGCTGCTGCATAAAGCAAAGATTGTGGCTGTCCTTCTCATCCTCCCAACCCAGCCCTCCCAAAAATGACAGGGTTAAATGCCACTATCCCCATCCCAGCTGAACCCAAGCCTGTTACCCCATAGACTGTGCCCAGTACTTTGTGGCCATTCCTGTGCTACACAACTGATAATAATTTTACATAGTTTAGTGCTTTGGTTGGGAAAGGGTTTCTCTTAGCAAATTAAGGTGGAAGATGCAGAGGTTCTGCCTGCTCCATCAGGATAATGGCTGTGGATGAAACTGTGGCTTTTGGCAGGCAAGGTTGGTCTTGAGGAGCCTCTAGGGAGAAAGCCTTGGAATTCATGGGCAGGTRAACTACAGAGCAGAATAAAGCAGCTGTGCTCTATGATGATTGCTATGATTCATAAACAAGAGTTTATACTCTACTCTTTTTGTTTTACTAGGAATGGGCCTTGTAAATAATTATGAATTTGGAATGTCTGCCTAATGATGGCTGAGAAYAGCTGTGATGTGCCTTTGTCTTCTCAAGGAATGAAGATTTGCCTCAACAGCAGAGACTTCCAGAGGACATTGGTGGATGAACCTGGTGAGCCTTCAAACTGCATGGCTGCTTTCCCATCATATTTACTGATGCATTAAGTTTTGTSCCCAAAACTTGCATTCTTGTAGTTAATAATAACATAACCATTCCTAATTTTAGTCTGATGCCATTATATTAAAGGAGGCATAAGGACTGTTTGGAATAATATCCATATTGAAATTGATCCAATTTTCTTGTGTGCAACTACACTAACAAAAATCTGTGGCTCCAATCTTGCTCTGACTCTGTAGGGGCTTAACTCRGGGTGTGTGATCAGTGCTGGTCTGTTGGTCTGTGTTCCTCTGTAGGAAAGGGGATTGTGTRCTGTGGACTGAGTGTGCCATTCAAATACACGGAGCATACGCTCTTTCTTGAGTAGCTTTGCAAGCAGTTTTCACAACCTCTTTTGGCTTCACAAAATACTCTTGTCCTCCTGCACAAAATAATTTACATGTCTCAGAGACTRTTGAAGTTGAAACAGTCTAAACACAGTTTAGGGGATGGAAAATAACCCTGGTGAATCGGTTACCAGCCAAAGATTTCAGATCTGCCTGGGGCAGTGCCATGATGTGCCTTGGTTCCCTTCTTCCTTTCTGCATWGGAAATGTCTTCTTATGTTTGTCTCTTTTTTTTATAAATAGACGGACCATAATCAGGAAAACACTGGCTAGCTTTGGACTCCAGCTTGTGCCTTGTGTGGGGAACATATTAAAATATTTTGAGGCATATTTTGGCTAGACTGCTCTGAGATATGGCTGAGGCCTGACAGGATCAACAGTGTGATCCAGACCTGAACAGGATAAACTCTTTTCTGTTTGTCTAAGTACTRGAATTAGAAAAGCTACAGCAAAAGAGAATGTTTGTTGTGCTGATTTGTGTCTCAATGGCTGGATTCCTTCTCCAGCCCCAGCTGCTGCCTAAGCTCTGGGAGCAAATGAAGCTACACTGGGCAATGGTGGTGGTGCAAAATCCTCCCTCCATGCCTCACAAGCTAGTCACCTCCAYTCTGATACTTCTAGATATAAACCAGAGAAACTTTTCCCCTCTAAAGTATTTGCTATTTTTCTTAAAATCTCCTATGAAAGACCAGTGACTGCCACTCAGCAGTGTGTCTCAGCACTTTGCGGGTTTTGTTTTCTCTTAGGGTTGTAAACTCAGCAGTGTCTGTCTCCAGATATCCTTCAACTCTCTCAGCACCTGCTCAGCCTGTAAATTGGTTAATAAACTAAAAGGAATTGGGAGAAATTAAGATGTAAGTAATAGGGGTAAACCTTGAGATGGAAAGATCTTAAAATCTCAGAAAATAAGACAGAGAGGCTTTGAGGAATAATATTGAAACCTATGCAGATGGAGTAACACAGGTATCTTAGTACTTGATTAAATTAAAACAGAGAGATTGAGATTGACTTCACAGGGCTGAGATTGTCTTGTCTATAGATTAGGCWAAGTAGTACTGGAAGCTTCAGTTGGGTGTTTGTAGTTAAAAGCCTGAAGGCAGTTAATAGCACCATGTTATTATGTGAAATGCTTCTGAAGGAAGATAAACAATTTCAGTTTATKATGGTTTTCTTTCCCATATGGCACAAATGGGCCCAGGACCAATCTGGCTCTCAGCAGAAAGCTTCCATCTCCACACTCATTCAGCAGGTCATATTTAACCAATTTTAATATCTTGCTTGTACACCCACTGGTGGACCCATTCCAATCAATACTCTATAGATAAAGGTTTTTTATGACACTTAATTTTTTACTTTCCTAGACTCTTCTGCCACTGTTGTTGAATATTCCTTTGTAGCTGATCTGTTTTCTGTCTCTATGTGCTAATGCTTATGCTGAGTTATTATTTCCAAAAGCTAAATTTTGAGCACTCTCTCTTCATTCCAAATTTCCTAAGAAAGAGCAGAAACACTACTATAATAATTCTCATGAAAACCCAAACAAATAAATCAATTAAACACTTGCATGATTCAGAAAGACAAAGAGATATTCATGCCCACATCAAAGAATGACACAATTGTGCCTCTCCTTTTTGTGTGTGATATCCTTCTGTTTTCATTCTGAGTTGTTACTGCACATTTTTCCAATCTATCCAGGTTAGGCAAGAAACATATTTTCAAAGGTACATGGTCACTGATGGACACAGCTAGGCACCTACCCAAGCAGGTGAAATAAAATTTTCTTGGATGCATAAGCACCTTTGAAAATCTGTTCTTGAATGTTTCAGAAAAAGAGATTAACTTTGTTGTTTGTAAACAACAAACACTTGTGAGCGTCCTAAAAAACTACAGGATTGGCAAGGATTTGGTTAAAAGACATTGTAATAGAATAGAGAATAAAGCCAGGGTGTAACTGGAGATAAGAAATCTGAAGAAAAGAGATTAATACTTCTAGAAGTGTAGGAAAATGGAAGATTGCTGAGAAAAGGCACTTCAAGATAAATTTGTTTTCTGGCATTGCTTCCAAAACATCTCAGTTAAATTCCAATGTTTTTCTATGCAAATTCAACAGCTATGAGGGCATAACATATGTCWTCCAGCAATAGCTGTCCCTTGTGTAACCTCTTGACTTAACAGCACTGATAAATGTACAAAGCTCTACTAACAGTGAAGAACAATGGATATTTGAACACATGTAGTAATGAGTTAATTTAATGAATTTTTGTGTCATGATTAGAAACAAGACTTTCTTACCATTGTCAGAGGCCCAATCATGCAGGTTGAAGACAGACTGCTAGAACTACAGTACTACAAGTAATTTTTGTCTCTTTCTGCTATGGAAAACTTTCATGCCACTCCTGAACAAACTAAAGGTCATCCTCTGAACCGCATCCAAAACTTAGTATTAGACATAAATTGCTGTACTGCAGACTCCAATAGTTTGTCAGTAGTTCATTGCTCCATGCAGCAGCAGAAGGAACAAGGCTTGACAGCAAGTATTTAACTAATTGAGTCTAAATTTCTGCATTTGGAAACCCCTTGGTGTTCCAAAACAACTGCTGGCAGCAGTGAAAAGTTCAGCTGCGGATACGCATGTGTTCATATGAAGGTACAAAGGAACCAAGCACTGGTTTATTGACAGAAAGGAAGGCAGGGTCAGCCAGTACTGCGTAACAGCACAAGCATCCAAACTACAGCTGACAGCCTTCAAAGGGCTCATGGAGCCTCACCCAGAACCGATGTCTCCTTTTTTCCATTCTAAAAAATTTTGTGAGTTTTCTGGAAAAAAAAGAACAACCTTTCCTCASTATGTTTGTACTGCTTTCTTTGTTTGGGGTGTCTTTCCCTTCTAATCAGTTATAAGTGCATAATATTAGTGTTCCTTAGCAAATAGTTATCCTTTTAACACTACAAAATAATCCCACAGTATAGTTTATGGCATGTGATCAGACTTTTCTAGCTGGCCAAGTGTTGCTGTGGTGTTGTCACGGCTCTGAATATCCCTGGCAAGCACAGCAGTCATTCCCCAGGGGTAGAAACACGTTAGCTCAGGTGCTGGGATAGCTGGACATGGCTGCCTTCTCAGAGGAAGGTGTATGGTATTAAAAAAATAATTGTGAAAAATGTATGAAATTAGGATGCAAGCTTTTCTTTTCCCTCCATTTTATTTTCAGTTTTTTGAGAGGATGGCTAAAGCACCTGACATCTTTCTTCTCTCACTGATGAGSTTTCAAATGGGGACACCAAGACAAGCACAGGAGGAGGCTGACTCAGCCACCTGAGTCATCTGGAGAGTACAGCCAGAGCCAACCTTTGGAAGACTGAACTGAGGTAACACACACCTACAGTAACTTATATATCTACATTTCTCCCTCCAATTTAAGAAGAAAAAGAATTTAAGATACCTTTCCCAGTATAATATGATACTGCATCCATCYCAGATCTAAATATTTAGACTACGAGAGGTTTTGGAAAACATTAGAAAAGATAAAAGAAGGAAAAAGCATCCCCAAACGTGATGGTTTTACAAAAGGGCAAGGAATCCCTCTGTCTCTTGCTACATAACCCTGTAATGGTTTTATTTGAGAGACTCATTTGTAACTAACACTAAAAATTAAAGTTTTAAAGGCAGCTAGAATCAATTACAGTTTTCATGTGTAACAAGCTTGATTACAATAGCAGGTTGCACTGCTATKTTATCTGAGAAAATCAAAATGCAAGATATGCAGGGAAGCTGATTCAGCTTTTATCTTTTTCGATATAAAGAAATACTAAAAATTTAGAATTCACAACATTTGTATTTAAATTAATCTTATTCTTACCACAGAGCAATAATGATGACTCGTGACATAAGTACATCTCAAAGTAAAGCATTTTCCTGTGTATAAACTGTRATGATTAGACTCTTTCACAGATCAGAAACTGTTCTGCAGCTGAATATCACATCCAGTTAGTACTGTATTTTGGGGGACAAATGTTGGTATTTTACATCATACAAATTTCTTAGCAACACTTTGAGGATTAATATGACATGGTCAAGAAACATAACACTAGTAGTAAGCAATCAAACAACCAGACACTATTTTCTACTTTGTTGAGCTCTAACTAGAAGAGTGAAGCAGCTGATTCAATTGAAAAAAATAYCTTAATTACAGACCTTTTAGACAATTTAAATTCTATTTTTGGGTAGATATTACTAGATATTCAAACCATATCTATGGTTTGCAACATGAAATCCTAATTGATATTCAGTTAACCAGGAATTATTGTTGCTACTTTAGCCTTCTGTTCAGAAAATCACTTGGATATTTTGGAATTGGACCAAATGTAAATATAAATGGACTGAATAAAATCTAAAATCTGATGGCTGATCAGTATTTACATCACTTTAAACAAAATTACTGTCCATGCTAATATGTATTCAACAGATGTTGATGTTGGTACATAAAAAGAAGATGCTGGTGTTAAGTGCTTAAGAAGAAAAACTGAGATGAAGAAAAATGGAAGCTTGCCCATAAACACCATGTCCAAGGGAAAGAATGGATTTAAAAGAACATCTCCTCTTAAGTAACAGATGTTGCTGAACTGATTAAAAAAACCCAAACATAGCTTTGTGGGTCATAGGGTGCAACCACAACTGAAAAAGTATTTAGTGGCCTTTTAGTTAAAACAGTGGAAAGAACACTATTACCAAAACACAAGGTAATAAACTCTCTGAGCATACCAAACAGACTAAGGCCAATATTAATCAGTCATATATGCATGATTACCTGTTCCCTCAGTTACACTAATGATACTTTGGAGTCTAATAGTTAAAGTAATTGAAAGCTAATTTTTCAGGTGGAAGTGCTTCAAGCAAAGAGTAACRTGGACAGCAGTTGAGATATCTGGAGATGCTCAGATACAAAAAGGTACAAATTCAAACATGACATTAGAAGAGAACACCCTCCTTATTCACAGTATAATTCCACATGCAAATTCACTAATGAAATCTGTATAGTGCTTTTCCACAATGTTAAAAATATGAGGGCGGCAGGAAACGGAATTTGAAGAAACATCTCAGTTCTCATATTTTCTAGAAATCTGGTCTTTTCTATTAAGCATGTAGATTTTAATAATCTGAGTCTTCCAATTAAACTATTTCAACACTGTTTGCATTGTGTGTGTCTACAGTACTTCATATTTTCACACTAATTTTACACTAACTCCCTACATTTTTGTTGTTGCTGAAAGCTGATCATAGTAGCAAAGTGAATTGGATTGTGATTTTTTTAAGAAGAGAGGAAAAAAGGGAAATAACCTAATGGATGTCTTGGACTAAGCCTGAGCCTAAGCATGTCAGTATAAGCAATGTGTCATTACTGCTAAATGCGTAGCAGTCAGAAGCATTAAGAAAAGCTTTAACACTCTCACAAAACAAAAAGGGAGGAAATTCTTCAGCAGCTTCTTCCAGGGGCTGTAAAGGTACGCATTATTCTCTAAAACAGAAGAAGTTTACTCTGAGGGAAAACTTTTCAACAGAACTCTTTCAAAACAGAGGTTAAAGGAGAAGAGAGGGCTAAGGCATTTCTCTAGCAATCACTATAATTCTTTAATTTCTTCATTCCCTTAACATCATGGATTTTATCCAAATAACAACAGCTTATCAGCTACAGAACATATACATATGGTATGTATACATTACCAGGTAAATGCATATTTTTTAAAGCTTTTATGGGATGTGTGAAATATGCTGAAGCATGAAAACAACCAACTGCGCAATGTAACAAGTATTCTTCATTTTTCTTTATTAGTTTATAGGCATCTGCAGCTAGTAACAATCTGCCTGTCATAGCTCAGAGCAAAGCTACTGATACACAGCTGCTTACTTTGCATTGGTTTCCATCAGGAAGTTGTTAAGAACACTTATATTCAATACAAAATTAAATTTTTTGCAGTTAATACAGCATGTAAATTCAGAAACTTCTTCAGACATGATGTATAAAGGAAGGCAACAAGAGTCTACAGTACTCTTACATTTACTGGGTTTCTGTGTTGTCCTATATATTTTTACTATTTTTTTCTATACAAATCTTCTTCAGCATTGTCAGATCTGTATTCTCAAAGATGACAGATGGTTACAAAAAGTCTCAACTTTGCTACATGCCACAAAAATCAAATAATAACTGAATAATTGTCTGACTAACACTAAACTTTTGTTTAATGAGGTTTAGTTAAGAATATAAGCTCAGGAGAACACTGTTAATTTTTATACTTGATTGTGTCCTAGAGAAGAAAGGGATACCATGCAGAAATTCAAACCTGCCTGCCTTGATTTGTCTTGATTCAGCGCATTAAACAGGTCAGATCTATGGCTACATGACATACCAGAGCCACGTTATCTTCCAATTTCAGATCAACAATGTCTTGCAAAAGTTCAATTTGACCACTCTAATTCAGTACATTCTGAGAACTAAAACTTTGTTTGGAAGAATGAGTAACAACAACATAGAACTTCTGCTGAAGATTTTGAATTGTGAAATTAAATCAAAATAATGCTGTCAATTTGGTAGCAGTATATCTGACCAAGACTAAAGGGATGCTGAAGTCAATGAAATCTAGTAAAAATAATCTTCGTGTACAGAATGGCACTTTTGAAGGACCTTATGCAACAAAGTGAAATATGTGAATTGCAATAGGTGGAATGAGGGACTGAGTAAAGAAAAGATGCAGTGAGTCCTGAGGCAGACAAGTTATTAGTCAAAAGGCATCTTATGTGGTAATTTTAATACTTAATAAAGGTRGTAACTGTAAAAGTCCTATGCTTCACATTTTAGATAAGAGCTCTCAGACTGTAAATATTCATCAGTATCTCTAGAGTAAACTTATTATACTGAGTTGAAAGACATACGAGTCAGTCGAATTGCTCTTATGGGAGATGTAGTCAAGTCATCGCTTGAGGGAGTGTAGTCAAACTTCTGCTTCACAGAAATATTCAGGTGTGGATGTTACTGCTTCACACTCTGTATTTTGTTTTGCCATGATCATTGATGACACATATGTGCTGAAAAAAATAGAAGAGATTGTAAAAGCATGGTTATTAATTATTATTATTATTAATTGTTCAGAAATACTTCAGTTTGGCTAACCTAGTGATCTTACAATTACTCTTTCCTTTCCAGACATCTGATTTCACTTTCTAGCTACAGCAAGTTTTCCCACTTGGAATTCCCAGCTTTGAGGTGCACCTGGGACTACCACAAGAAGCAAAGGCAAGGTTTGCACCTTTTTTCCATCCTCACCTCCCAGAGAAAATGGACAGGCAATGTAGCATTCAGACAATCCGTGTGACCTGTGGCTGTGTTTCACTTTTGCTGCTGTSTCTGCACATACTGGCAAAGGTGAACCTGAGAAATCCTAAGCTCACAGAAGATGGAAGTTTAGGGAACTCACAGAGGGAAGGAACTGTTCACAGTGCTGAGCAGGGACTCCTCTGAATTATTTGAGGTTTTGCAGGGAGTTCTGCACTCACTGAAAGGATCCCAAAACCCAACCACATCAAAGACATAKCTCCTCAGGGCCCCAAGGAGGACAAAAATTATTGGGTATTTATGGGAATAAATACAGGAAAAGTGACCCTGTGACTTTTTGAACTTTTTTTTTGTCAGAAACTTACATTTAGATCTCTGAAGTGCTCGTTGTAGTCTAAGGCATAACCCACCACAAATAAATCTGGAATTTCAAATCCGTAATCTGTATTGAGACAAATAACAAACACCATCAATACAAGATCAGTGGCAGTTATAAGCCCTTAAATTCATGTGTGTTTCTCAACAAGCAAATTCTACATATATGTAGTCAGTTGGGGCTATGTTAATTTTGAACCTGAGACATCAAGGTCAGCAGTAGCCCCATAACCAGTTCCCAGTCATACAGTACTTGTGACAGGGATGTGAATAGTCAGAGGAGAGGAGAGTTGTGAAAAATTATCACTRGCACATTGTGGAAGGAAGCCAAAATCGGAGCTGGAAAATTCTGTTTGGAAGTTCCAATGGTATATACGTGAGATGACTACTGTATCACAGTAAGGATGGGAAAATGTAGAATATTAAATCAGAAGTAACTTTTCGAGATCTATATATTTTCTGCTAAGAGTAGCAAAAGCTATCTTGTATTTTATGCTACCAAAACGCATCAAATGCTTCTTAAATKAAAGCCCTAACCTTGTGAAGATTCAAGCACATGCTTAACAAAGTAAATGCATGCAGTGTACCTGAATTATACAACTCACRCACCTGAAGCCAAGCACAGATGTACATTTTTTGGAGTGTCAAAGTCTGTGCAACATCAGCACTTTATAAAACGAGTTAGACTTTTTCCAAATTGTTCACTAAGTATCTAGAGAAAAACTCAATCTTACAGACACAAAAATAGGTTCATWTAAAAAATTCTACAGGTATTCAGGTAAGGGATCTATTAAGTTGTTTAAGATTGGGGGTAATAGGCACTTTGGAACTGTAAATTTGGGTGAAGAAATGAAACAGCAATGTTAGTGATTTACAAAAGAGATCTCTGATATTTTATAAAATTCATCACACTATGAAGAAACAAGGATAAAACTTGTTTCATTTTACAAATTTATACATAAAACTAGAAAGCTATCCTTCATAAAGTAATTTTATTGCCTCTTTTATATGTTTAATATTAGTGAATCCAGTAAAATATATGCCTTAATTTACAGGATTAAATTCTAAACCTTAAAAATACCACTCCACAGTATAAAAGTTGTACAAACAATGTTTGGGTCATAGTTCACTTTACAGGGCTAAAACCTCTGCACCGTGCTCAACATTGAAGTAACTTTTGCTTCATAAAGTTTCCCTCTCTCCAAAATCTCAAATCAAAACCCTTCATGCTGCCTCCTGGTACTCACCTGCCTACTCTCTCCTTCTACCCTCYTCCCCAGCTCAGCTGACCAGAGCCTTCTTCAGTAGCAAATACTGGTTGATGTCTTCTAGATGGATCTATTCGTATTTAGCCACATACCTGCCATTACATTGTTTATTTTAAATAAGTCTAAAATGACAATTGTTTGGTACAGCTCCATTTACAGCTTCATCATAACACAGTATAAGGACCAATAATTTCGATAAAAGTGGTGTTGGTGTGGTGCAAACTGAGCAGCAGGAGGAAGTTTAAAAAGTCCAATTTACCTTCTGCTTTTTGGAGGGGTGGGATTTAATTATAATGTCAGTGTTTCCCTTTGAACAATAATACTTAAAAAAAAATAATTAGAAGTGTGTTCCTGAATAAAAAAAAGTGAGACTTGTTAATACTGAGTTACAATGRAACACCTTTTGTGTGCTCAGATGGAATCCTGCAGCTCCTCCAGAGAGAGGCAATGAGGAAGGAAAAAGAAGAAATGGACATTCTCTTCAATATTGTTTGTCAGAGACAAAAGATAAAACACTCACCTTTCATTGATAAAATAAATTCCCTTCAAATTTTCCCAATAAAATTAGTATTCTGCAGAAAACCTGAGTAGGRTAGGCTTTCCAAATGACAGTTATACAAGTCCTTCCATTGCATCCCATAGATCCATTGATAACTGGTATTTTACAATGCTTCTAGCAGTCCATGGAATGTTAAGAAAGGCAAGAGATAGAGTAGTGGCAACTTTTACTGTCAAGTAGAGATTTTCACAACACTTACAATCTGGTCTGTACCCATCAGGCCGAGATGTTCTTTTCACCAACAAACTGYAATTAAAAATAAAATAAACCCCAATTAAACTTTGATATATAACTGAAAACACATAAAAACAATTCCTTTTATGAAAAATCTTCAGAACCGTGTGACTCCCTGTTCTTGTTCTGCTTCTCTTCCCAATAACATCCTGATTGCAGGGAAGAGGTGGGTGTATTCCCCTCCCAGGCCCATCAGTGCCAGTCTTGAAATGGCTGGAGGGTCATCACCAAGGCAGAACAACACAAAAGCATTTCCCTTCCTTCCCTTCACCCTCCCCACAGTGACTCAGGCTACAGCACTGAATTAAAGCAGGATCTGTGAATGGGAATCCACGCTGGGAAACATGCTGGACTAGACTAGTTAATTGTTATGTTTTGTGATCGTTTTACTCACCTGGCCACTTTAATCATTTTTGGTTTGTATTTTTCTATAGTATTAAGCAGAACCTTCATGGTTCTTCCAGTTCCAACAATATCCTTACAAAACATAAAAAATAGAGTAAGTAAAACACAAAAGAAAGCTGAAAGGAGGAAATCTGGACAATGACTGAGAAGTTCCACCTTCTTATTTTGTGGAGATGATTTATTTTTCCAATGTAAACCACATCCAAAAAATGTTATACTCCTTGAAGTAAGCACTTTCTATTCATAAATTTATCAGTTCAAGGACTGTCCACTTCCTCTTGAAAATAGATATGTTGCAAGTACTTGGGCTGTAAAACAGGACTGGAGATGACTTTACAGGGCACTGCAAGGATGCAGGGATTAGACTTTTCATATGCTCCAGATCAGTATGTCAACCTGTCTCCATGCTGGGACTAAATCTGCCCGATTTGTTATTTTATGAACACAGTACAAATGTGGATTCTCCAGAGCTGCCATATCCAATACCATCTCAGTGAAATCAGTAGGTACCTGGTTACAACTGACCATGGAGAGCAGCTGTTGATCCTGAACTCTGGGGGTGGATTAGCAATACCTTGTCTCTGCCCTCCAGCTGTTTAATAGCATTAGAATTTGCTGTGTACATTTTTAATTTCCGTTAAAGCAGTTAGAATGAGTAAATATGGAACTCTTAGCAGCTACTCAGGTAACCAGCCATCCCTGTGGCTGATGGCTTTTCTCCCATTCTTTGCTAAGAAATGCAATTCCAACATTATTGGAATTACTTTCCATACAAGCAGACTGGGTCTCAAATGCCAGGCAGATCCTAATGTGCTCTCTAGCTGTCCCAGTTGCTTACCCAACATTTTCAAAGAGAGTCACTTCTRTTAATCTGGAGAATTTGGAGCACCAGCAAGGTGACACATTCCTTCTCTCTACAACTGAACACAATATTGCCTTACATCAGCAACAGCTCTGTGATGGGCCAGGGACACTGGGGGTGGAAAGCTGGATGCAGGAGTTGAGGGGATGAGGGAATGACTGACTCTCCCAAACAGACTGTGAACAACTGTGGGGCTGTAAAGCATATGCAAGGGCACTACCTCAAAATCATGCACCTGAGAAATGCAGGGCATCACTRCAGTTGATTCATTATCCTCCAAGGAACAGAACAACTCGCAGAACAGGAGTTGATGAAACCACCAAAAGAACAAATTAAATGATGCAGAAACAAAGACTCCAGGGTATCACAAGGCAGAGCACCAATTAGAGTGACAGCAATGTTGTTTAATCTGTCAGGCAATTGCAAAAAGACCAAGAGGCCATTAAGAAAATCAACCCTCCTCCCTCCGCACCACCTACCAGTGAAAGAAGTGTAAACACAGACAGGTTTTAGAAACAGAACATCCAATCATGACTTGGCTACRTGACTTTATCTAAGTACAATATGAGACAAGCACCCAACTTACCTCCACAATTAGAACATTCTGGAAGAAACAAACAAAAATGAATACAATTACACAATATTCACATAGTAAAAGAAACAAATGTTTGAAAAAATGAAATTAAGATAGGTCCATGTACTATGTACAACACAGTAGGACACAAGGAGTTTCCTGTTTGATTTTTGTGCCCTGAATAAAAGCCAGCCATAAGAGCAAGCTCTGCAGTCAGGGACCACAACTTAATTCAGCTCTGCCAGGATTATCCTCTTTGTCCAAGAACGGATGTAGCTTTGGAAAATAAAATTAGATGGAAGAAATCCAAATAGGATGAACTTCACTTCATTCCAGCGTCTCTAGCTGTGTACTACAGTGTACCCTGTAGTTCACTAAAATAGTATTTCCAATGTTAATAGGAGAACACAACAATAATACTCTTTCTCTYAAATAAATGTTCTTCCTTCCTCCACCCACACCCCAGCAACCTCAGTTGTAAAGGATTACAGGCCAAATTGTAACACCCACTCTCATACTGTGAAGCACCCTCTTTCTCTTCTGACAYTGCTGGTGAAATCAGTATAATTTGAAGAGCAGGGAAGTGGTCCAGCCAAGACCAGTGATGTCAAGCTTTATGATGGTATCATCACACAGGCTAATCTTTTTGCTGAAATGGTTCATCATCTGTTCCAGGAATTACAACGTCTAAGGAGACTTCTGTTCTACTAAAAGCAATAATAAGATGTAATGTCCTTATTAGAAGAAATAAAAGTCTATTTATTAGCATGATCAAAATTATGGACTCTTACAATCTTGCCTTAAGATCTACTTTCTGAAGTGGAACCTGCAGTARCAAGAGGAAAGTTATTTCACAAATACCTTTATCTATCTATCAGCTACATGCATGTGCACGCTGTGTGTCCTGCAAAACCTCGAGACCACATAGTTTCGTATCCATGCAGTATTCCCCAGCCTGGTTTACGTTCCACTTCCTTTCTAGCAGGCCTGTTGGCTTTGCTACATACATAACATGGAGATTGTGTAACTTCCTTTTCCATAACAGAAACCTAAGGCTGAGAGCTGTAAGAGGGACTCAAAGACATGGAAAAGGGACGTGTGAAGGGAGAATGCTCACAACCAGTACACTCTAACAGCTTTGTTAGGTAAATAATTTTTAATCTTCAAAACAGAAATTCTTAACACAGATTATCCATATTTCTATTCATACTGCAGGCTCTTCCTAACACAGTGCTTGGTAGGGAGACATGGCATACTTTATGCATCAAGCACTGCAGAAATATGTTACCACACGCTGTATTATACCTGGACACTTCTGAAATGGCAAACCAGTTGGTAAAGATCAGGAGGGAACTCCCAGTAGCAGTTGAGCAGATGTCAGCAATGGAGATATCACTCCAGAAAGCCACTAATTTAGACTGAGCTCTGGTGGTGTATATATTAATCTTAGAGGGAGGCTCCTTTTTGGTGTTTTCATAACAGGTTTCACTGGTGATTATCCTGCTTGGCWCTCCTGACTTTCAACCTCTCAGCTGCTGACACAAACAACTTTGGACCTCAAACACTTAGTCTTACAGAGGCAACAAGTTAAAGGCCTCTTAACAAAAGTCTGAAGATGCYCTTCCTCTAGAAACTTCTTTCTTCAAGAAAGAATGGAAGTATGTCAGTTGTCTAGATAAGATGAAKAGACCAAAACCATGGAGAAGCTTATGACAGTGTGTAGGAACATGTTGCTTTGAAGGAAGATGTTTGTATCMAAAAACAATTTRGTTCTCATCTGGCATCCTGTATCAMGTCAMAACTAGGAAAAATAATTCTGAAGATTAGCTCAGSACATCTGGGTCTGAGGCATAAGGAAAGCACTTGATTCAGTCAGTGGACACCTGAAGATAATGTGCAGGAGTATTGGCTTAACCACCTCCAAAGAACTTGTGCAGCTGGTGATATATGTAAATATTTATGTGTTAATACATACACACACACACACACATATCTATATGCCTATACCTATAAATACACATATATATATCCATGCATATATATACAGTATAGGGACAGAGCAAAAGAGTTGACAAGGAAAGAACTTACCAGAACCAAAAATGGAAATGAACTCTTTTAGTATCAGGCCCAGTGAGAGCAACCACRATCAAATACAGCCCGAGGATCTCCAGGCTGGTCCACAGTGATGAGACAGATTCAATTAAGTCAGTCTATGAGTTCAATGAAGTCAGTCTTTGAGTCACACTCTGAATCAATGTTTTCAGTAATTTCCAGGTTTGGCTGTAGCTGAGCTGAAGATCGGTACCCACACAGCACAGATCAGGCATGGACTAAGAGCACAGGGCTGAGCTGAACTTGTGTTYATGTGCCCACAGGTGTGAGTGGAGACCCCAGGGGACACAGGTCATGGCCATTAGCATCTACTAGAGCACCTATTAGTGCACTGTGGCAGACTGAGAGAAAAGCAAAGTCCTGGGACATTTCATTGACAGACAAATAGATTCCTTTGCTACACAGTTGCTTCAGCTATTCTGTCAAGACCAGCAGTAGGAATTCTCTTGCTTGCTCACAAGTGGAAATCACAAATTTGGACAGAATGAGGGGACAGCAACCTCCCTAGCCATGGAATTGGGGTTAACCAACATGAAGGAGTAGACCTTACTATTTAACTTGTGAGAAAAAGAAAATCATAGACATTAATAGAAGATGGGTCTGAAGAGACCACAAAAGATCATCAAGACTATTCTATTGCCCTACAGAATCAACTTTAAACTATCCCTTACAGATATCTGATTTGCCTCTTCTAGAAAATGATAAGGACTTGTGTACTTCCCCAGGGAATGTCTCAATACCTCATTATATCAGAGCAAAAATACAATTAGAAAACTTCTGTTCATATTTGGCCTGAYCTTATTTTGAAGGGGGCATGGAAAAAGATTTGTTCTCTTCTCCTTTTTTCTTCTGTATTTGAAGAAAGACATGTTTCCTCTTCTTCAGATCAAACAACTTGTATTTATTAGACATTTTCTTGCAAGTTATATTTCCTAGCTTTCTGATCACAATTTTGCTCTCCTTTGGAACCTGTCCAGCTAGTCAGAATCCTTCTCCACTTGTGGTGYTCCAAACCAGAAAGAAGCCTTTTCCAGTGTGGAGAGGGAATAAAAGAACCATTTTGTATGCTTTACAAATAATCCTCCTTTCTACATATGCCAGYACAACAGTTACATCCTTCATAAAAATGTATTGGTGTCTCAGGTRCAACTTGTGATCCACACATTGTCTCCAGGACTTTTGCTGACTCAGTCCTCCCTCACTTGAACTTATGCAAAAGATTAGTTCTGTATAAACACAGAAGTTGATATTCATCTTTATTGTCATTACMTGTCATTCTTTGAACCAAACTCTTAAAATAATTTCTTAAGATCATAATACCTTGTAGTATTTTTCCAGGTAGAATGAGTACCATTAAATGCTAATTCCATCTTTTCAATCAYGAATTAAATATTGTATAGTCCCTGGAGAACATGCTTTAATGCATCTTGTCTGACAGTGAAGCATAATTAACTGTTTCTTGAGAACAGCTTTCCAACCAGTTATACATCAGTCTAATAGAAATTTAATCTTGTCTGTGTTTCCTTATCACAMATGACTCACGAAGGAAAGAGGATTAACGCGGATCCAGACATGCCTGAAAGGTTTGTCTGGCTACAGGAGTGATAGTCACCTGCRTGTGACTTCAGTTGAACTGTAAGATCACTATTTATTGACTAACTTGAGAAGGAAGGATTTGGATTTTGGTGGACTCTGCCTCTTGTTCATAGAGTCGAAGAGTTCAACCATTGCAAATTATATACATTGGGAAATTTGGTCAAATTWTATACATTGGGAGATTTGGTCCTTTGAAGGAGTTGTCTATAAGTTGTCTAGGCCAGAAAACACAGATGCTGTTTTGTATTATGCACATTCTCATTATTTCCCAAACATTGATGAGGACTTCCCACGCTATGGACAAATCCTGTATGTAAGGACTTTTYAGTGGAAAAGCCACTATAAAAYATTTAGATAWAAGCCACTATAAAACATTTAGATATGAAAACATTTTGTAGCTATAAGTAAGCAGCCATCCTAACTGTTTGGAGTGATACTTTAATCTTGGTTTTCATTATGCAGGGTTAATGTGCCTAAAGTCACCACACTTTTCAGTCATTAACTGCTGCTTATGACCGAAGGCATTCAGAGTGGTTTGCCATCCTCTGGTACCACAAACCYTCTCCTGCAGAATAATGTGATGTGCTGGGAAACTGACTGTATTGCTGTCTATCCCCTGCCTTTCTACTGTGGAAGCAGTCTACAGATATAAGATTTCAGAAAAGGGATGGAATAGCAGAATAGTAGAAGAACAAATTACAAACTGCCAAGGAATGTTTCAATATATAGTGTCAAAGATTAGAGATAGTGGTGATCTCTAACTAAAACTGGTTGAAATAGATTAGCTTATCCTTGATCAGATGGATAGCAGAAGATGAAAGAGAAATGCAATGGATGCAGCAAATTAGTACATTAACRGTAATGTCACCATCATCCTAAAATCACAGCTGGCTGCATCCAGTAWCCTCTGTGAAAGGTCAGTTACATGGAAGATCTTATTCAGCTTCACTGTGAAATCCACATGTGAGCTGGTGAGCAGGAGTCTGGTAAGACTTATYAGCTTGTGGTGCTGCAGCAGTAACTGATAGCTGGACAAATAGGAAGCTAAGGAACACTGAAGAAAATATCTTCTCTCAAGTATGTGTGATTGAAGCTCCTGTGGATCAAGACTGTTTTGTCCTTTCAGTTACATTTGAGGCAATTACAAAGAAAGAAACCACATGAAAAGAAAAGTAATCCAGCCTTCTGGATTCTGTCTACTTTTGAAACTCAGAGAACAGGAAATAGGAATATTTAYTGATATGTTGACTAAAGATGTCTTAATTTCTGAGTAGAACCATCTTCACCAATACAATCTCTGAAGYACATCCAGAAATCTAATA